GAAGAGAGGATGCATATCGATCTAGCTTCACCAGCGTCACCAGCGGCACGCTGGCGTACGCTAGCGTACGCCAGCGTTTCTCCAGCGTTTCACCAGCGTTTTGCTAGCGCTTGCAGCGGCAGGGGAGTAGAGACTATGGGAGAGCTGGAGGGTACAAAACTCATCGATTGCGCGTCTCCCACTCGCCCTTAGTCTCTACAATGCACATCGCTTCTGCGTCTCCGACGGCCCCATAGTCTCTACGATGCACATTGCTTCTGCGTCTCCGACGCCACATAGTCTCTACAATGCACATCGCTTCTGCGTCTCCGACGGCCATATGGTCTCTACAATACACGTCGATTCCGCTTCTCTCACGGCCACATAGTCTCTACTCCCCTGCCGCTGCAAGCGCTAGCAAAACGCTGGTGAAACGCTGGAGAAACGCTGGCGTACGCTAGCGTACGCCAGCGTGGGTGACGCTGGTGAAGCTAGATCGATATGCATCCTCTCTTCGGCACTGCCGCTGGCGTACGCTGGAAGCGCTACGCTACGCTGCGCTACGCTAGCTGCTGTACGCTTCTCCGTGCCAAAGTATAAACTGAGCAAAACCCTGATTCATGGTCCAGAAACACGTTGAACTATACATTGCGGGGGGGTGTCTGTAACTGAAACGAAGCCAGAAACCAACTAAAAAACGAAATGAATCGAAGCGACTAAGCAAAACTTTGAAATTCTAAGCATGCACAGGCTAGAGGTTTCGGCACGAGTTAGATACTAGCAACAAGCCACGATTTCTAGCAAAAACCCTGGAAACTTCGAGAAACATACGGTTTTCTAGCTTTTCCTTTTTACAGAAAGCCGACGAGAACCGCCAGTCTTGGGTCGGCTGCGTGCAACGTAGTATTGAGAGGGACTGTTTCCATTTCTCACATTTGATTGGCACATTCCGCGATTAAAGGGCTCGAGCGGCTATGAAGTGGGCGAAGACCAACAGCCTTCGCGCCTTCTTACTGGTGCGCTGATCCCCGCCCACTTCCCTGCCCATCGTTTATCGCGGAATGTGGCTTTGTGTAGGTGGGAGAAGTAAAACCAAAATGCTGTGCAGCAGTGAAATGAAAAAAAAGAAAATATCATATAAAAAATGATAAGGCATGCGAAACAGGCACACAATAACAGCTGGTAGCTAAGTAAAGGTGGGGGAGGAATTGAAGCAAAAGTGTCTTTGCCAGTGCCGATTAGGCCCACGAAAGTTTGCTGCCTTGTTGTGTATTGTAGCCCATTGCTTGATCGAACGAGTAGTTGTCTCTGCGGTCCGTGCGATTTCGGGTCGCCAAAATACTTGGGGAATCCATAAATGTCAAGCAATCGTGCACTCATAGTAGGAGGTTAAGTCGCTAGAGCATCATCGGCTGACTCCCACCGGAATACAACTGCACGACTGACTCGCTCACTTTGAAAGTAGGAAATGAATGCCAAAGATCAGCCTCGCTCCGGCCTGTCAAGGCCACCATCGAAAAATTCCTTCCTTTTTTCCCAAATTTACAGAGAAAAATTCCGAAAAAGTTCTTGTCATAGCAATCAATCAACTTGAGGACTCAGGGGAGAACTTGAGGATTCTGGGTTGCTGGAACCCTATTCAACGCGTCTTTACGTCTTGCACGATGACTTGGGAGGGCAACGAGTGGTCCTCTGTGATTTCTAGCATAATGGTAGGAAGGTTTGTCGCCAACACTGCGTTTGACAATAGCTCCCCTAATTTTTGTGAAATCGACGGTTTGCGACGGATTAATCGAATTGTCATAACTTCCGTAGAAGTAGTCGAAATCATCTGAAAATTAGACAATCGATAGCGGTTGCTGCTATTGTGTAGATGCGTAGGGGCGCGAGTGTGTATGCGTAGGATTTTCTACATTTTCCTACTATTTCTAACTGATTCCAAGGGAAAACCACGATTGAGTCTCCAGTCACCTAAGGTGTTACCTGCGGATATGACCATGTCTTAAACCCTCCAGTTGGACCATGATCTTGGATCAAAGTGTTTCAAAGTCAGAAATACCAGCATCTTTGGAAACAGCATGATTGCATGATCATTTTGGTATCACAAATGATAGGGTTTCATATGAAAGTTCAGGTGAAAATTTAGGTTTATGATGTGTTCGACTGTATTGTATATGGCTATTTACAGTCTAGCCTTCGAGGAAAACAGGGTGACTCCGAGCCCACTTGGAGACAGAGGTGAACCAACTACAATACCCGCCCTAATTGTTCGAAAAAAGCGAAAAAAAACGCTAAGCCGCATTTTCATCGTTTTTTTTGCTATAACTCAGTTTCTGTTAGCTTTTCTTATATAGAAACTTACACTGTTAGACTCAGCTGGTCAAGTTCTATAACGGATGATGTCCTGAAAAACTGAAAAAGTCCATATTGAACTCCGCTTTCCATCGAAGTACCTGAGGACACTCGTTAGCGAGCGAGTCTCGATATAACTGTAACCAGAGGGCAATCGTTGAAAGTCCAGCCTTTCCAAAGATAAAATGACGCCCTGTGTCGCGTATGAAATGATTATGAATTGGGTAGTTGTGTTCTTCAAGTGATGCTGATCATAACGGTGTCATTTTTTCCGAAAATAGAGAGGTTCCACTCGACGTCACTTTTGAACGATATCGCGTTTTCAGTTCGATAAATCGCGAGCATTGGTCCAGTGAGGACCACACAAGCAGAGCAGGCCTAATGTATGGAGTCCTGTTCTCTCCAATATTCGTGAAATGCAAGAATGAAGTCAAAAAGAAGAGTTTTTCAGCTTCTTGAAGTCAAAAAAGAGTTTTTCAGCTTCTTGAAATGAGCACATCGTGCGACACTAGGGCAAATACGCGATTTTGAGTGTTTTCACACAGGATTTCCAGCGCTCTCAATGGCCCCATAGGTTCCATAAAAAGGCCACCTACCGAAAGTCTTGTGCTGTCTAACAATTTGGTGGGAAACAGTTGCATATTTCAGACTGGTTGTTGTTATCGGCTGCCAACTTCAAGACTTCTTTCAGAGCAAAATTCGCGTGTTTTTCATAATAAGAAAATCCCAGCCCAGTCAAAGTCACACCATTCGAATCCTCGTGAAAAATGCTACCTATTCATATGAAAATCATCTCATGGAACTTTCTATGACCTTTCCTAGTTTTTTCCGGCTATCTGACCTGTCAGCGATCAATCGACCTCCTAAGTTGTCCCAACCAGGTGTCAGGGCATTGTATTGATCAGTCTCAGTAATTTCGTCCACTAACATGCTCTCTTTTTTTCACTATTTCGCAGAAGGTCCGTAAGGTCCGCCGTTCTTGGAAATATTTCTCTTAATTCAAATTTAAATTTTCATGAAAATTTGTGCTCTGCATTACAAACTCCTCCATCATTGATTATTGCTCGTTTTTTGATCGCCCGATTCCTGCAATCGTTCCCACCTCTGAATTTAAATTGTATCTGAGGAACAGTGCGTTAAAAAAATGGACAGCAAACTTTTTCAACGTGTCCCTTCCCGGAGTTTTCAAGCTCTTGAACTAGGTTCATACTCTTTACACAGACTCGAGCCAATTGCAATGAGGATTCTTAGAGAATGAGTTGTATTTTGAAAGCTCCCCCCTCCCCTTATCTGGATGACATGCCCAGGGCCAAGTGTAATGCTGAAGGGTTCTGTACAAGGATCTCGAGGGTGTTGGGCTTTTCTCACCACTCGTGAGGTGCTGAGCACTGAATTCCGAGTAGAATGGAACAGTTAGCCTCCAAAGTAGCTGATTTTATGAATACGTTTTTTGTTTGCTTCCTACCCCCTATGGCCGCGTTCTCGATTGCATGTTACTACAGTTTGTAAATCAATTAATCGTCATAGAAAAATAAAGGCCTGAATAACTTGAACTTACAGAAAGTAGTGATTCCAAATGCTCCGGGTCTATCGAAGTACTGGTCTGAGCCTCAGAGTTGCTAAAATGATCAGTTTAGAATACCAGCTAGTGCTTTCATTATGCTACTCGCAGAAGTTCTAGGTTATTCACTAGATAAATCAAGTCTATAACTCACAAGTCTTCCACATGTGACCATTGAGATGGTTCTAACGTATTCCTACAACCATAGTAGAAAAATAGGCGCTATCCGTACATAATGGGGCATTTGGCGCAATACTACTTCAGACTACAGTGACCGTAATTTTGCATATTATCTCTCTTGCGCTACGTTCCACGCCTTCTCTTTCTTTCGTTAAGCACAACATAGTTTTATATCAACGATATTTAGTGGTTGTCCTCAGTGGAAAGGATGTTCGCCTTATTCTTTCTATATATATCTCCGTTGAGTAAACCACTTCAACCAACCTGGGATTATTTATTTTTATGAGTCTCAGGCTGAGAAACGTAGACCATTTTTATGCACGATTTACTGGGGTGCGCAACTCATCTGGGTAAGGAAACGTAATGTAGGCGTGTGACAGAAGCCTTTCTCTCTCCTTCCTCACCATATATTCTTCACGCAACCGGTACTCCCTTATATTCTCTCCACGCTCTGATAATATATTGGCTGTGTAACACCATTCGAGGGTCTAGCGCTAGCGTATAAGGAACGTAGGTCTTGTCTTCGAGTTTGCTTTTTTTTTGTGACGCTGATTATCTTTGACCTCCTATGTAGCTTCCACTCTAACCATTCCAATGCGGAGGAAGTGAAGGGAAAGGAAAATGGAAAAAAGAATGATTTTCACAAATTGAGCGTATGTAGGACCAGGGCTAGCGCGTTTGAAGATACGCTCCACGGTGGACACACATCTTCCCTTACCGTCTGAGAAGAGAGGAAGATGAACCAACGAGGAAGGTACCAGGGCCATGAGGCTTATCAGGTAACCATGAAATATGTCTCCATGACATTTGAATGATTTCGGTTGTACCATAGTTGCCAGTCAGCTTAACTTAGAGTGGCGCTTTACTGATCAAGCTCCTCTGTACCAAAACTTACCATTTACCGTAATCAAGGCATCATGCTCACTACTCACCTTAATTTATGGCTCATTCTTCGTTTAGGCTTGATGGAATTCCTTCGTTGAAGCCCTTTAATGTCCACGTAAAATCCTCGTCTTTCAGAGGGCCGATCAGTTCTAAAATGCAGGAACTCAATCTAGGAACTGTTTCCGTTCTTTATAGCTGCTGGCTGAACCGGAAGAAGCATCTTACTTGAAAGGTTCGATGTCGCGAGATTCCAGCGGTGACGCGGCGACCACGGGCAGAAACTGAGTTCGATTCGACCGGTATTCGTCCAATCGCCGAGCTATCTTCAGGTACGAGTCGTCTGTTTGGATAATCACCTCCTATAAAATGATAAAATATTTACTAGTCCATCCGCGTATTTTGAACGAAAGCCTGAAATGTTCGTCGTCTCGGTCACGATTGTGTTTTCCTAATAATCATACATCACTAGCAATTCCTTTTCCTACAACCAGGGCACAGCATCACTGGGTGAAACACATAGGGGGTCGTACTTTTTCTCTGGGGAGGGGGTCGTATTTGGTCGTTGGGAGAGAGGGGTCGTATGTGCCTTTGAGAGAAATTTGTCGCGTTGGTTTTCCGGTTGTTGACTTTTTGCGTGATTTTTCCTGTTTCATGTGCACTATATACCCCTCTCCCCTCTCCCGCTTTTTAGGTGAAAAAACTGGAAAATGGAAAAGTGGCCACTTAAGAGAGCCACAGCGTTTCGTTACTTGCTGTAAAACCGCGAAAAAAGGAACAGTCCCAGACACTGCGGACCAGAAATACGCTCACGAATGGCTTGAGCGCGGGAACTTTCTTGAACATGCGTTTATTCTGGCCGGACGTGGTCAGGAAAGCATTAGGGGGAAGACGCATGCATAGACGCAAAAAACCACAGACCTGACGAGTTTCGTCGTCGAAGATGCTTGTGCCGAGTCCTGACGTTGAGCTAGACCTCGCTCTTGTATTTCTGCAGGATGATCAATGCAAAAGAAGGTACAAAAAAGGAAAAAGCTTCTCAAGAACTATAGACTCACGTTACTCCCAGATTCTTGCTGTTCTGAGTGGTGACGGATCGTGACAGTGGTGGAGAGCACTGAGTACTGTAATCAAAAGGCCTTCAATGTTCTTTCTCTTATGAAAACGATATAACGAATTCCTCTTAAGAACACATTCCGATTTGGTTGGGCGGGCAGGGACTCGAACCACTTTGCCTCTGAGTCTCCGCCCATCTGGTTATCTTGGTAACGTTGGAATGAGGTGATAAATGTCACGTTTTTTCAACAGACCTCATCTCAATACTGTCCGCCATTCGTGCGTCACAGAAACTGCTAGTGCCAAGGAGATTCCAGTCTGTGCACGAGTGATATGATTCGGCCTCTGGAAGAGTTGCATGACTCGTTGTCTCTGTAACGGAGTAATCCCACATACCTTCATCAGGCCCGACGCCTGTCGAGACCACTACTAGCTGCCGGGAATCCATCAGAACATTGAGCAATTCCTCGGAAGTCTGTTGAGACCTGGAACGAGAGTGCTCTCAGTTCACATGTACAAGTGATAACGTCGCAACCAGCCGGGGCGGTTTTGGGAGGGGCAGAGTGAACCTGCCTCCGGCTGCCTTTCTTAACCGGTACGGTTAGGAAGAAGACAGTCAGTGGTCAAAAAGCCGCGGTTGGGCTCACCCCATCCCTCTTAAACTGCCCCGACTAAGTGGAACGGTATCAACTATAACCGCAGCAATCTTGAAGTGATTCTCACTAACCGACTCATCATCTCGTCCTGCGATGTCTGCAGCAACCGATTTAGCGGTAATGCCATCATTGGTGCAGTCATCTTGTCGATGACGTCCGGTGATGACTGAGTAGCGGCGTCGTCGAGAAGGCGTGGTGGCCGATCTATACTACATGAGGTTTGCTGCCACTGATCAGTACCTAACGGAGGACGATCGATACTTAACGAGGTTTGTTGCTGCTGATCAATACCCGATACACGATGATCGATAATCATTGACGTCTGCTGGGAGTGGTCGATATCGCTATGTAATGACATCTGTTGCTCCTGATCAACGGTTGACCGAGTGGGTTCAATAATGATTGACGTTTGCTGAGAGTGATCCGTGTTGCTGTGAGCGTCTTCTGCCGATCCGGAATGGCTACTTGCGTTGATCGTTTTGAAGAGTAGCCGTCGAAGTATTGGTGATGTCATCATGTCACGACGGACTCTCTCTGCCCATGACATGTCCGAGGCGGCATCGTTCTCAGCGTCCACACACTCGCTCCTGAAAATGCGGAAATTCTGCTAGGAATTAGTTCATTAATAGTCAACTCGCTGATACTGGACGGTTTCGAAGAGAAGAGAAAAGCTATAGAAAGACACCTCATCTCGTGTATTACTGGTGGGTACCGGTCCGCAGATCCGCGCTAAGGAGACTTCTGGAAGTGTTCCAGAGGACCGGGAAGAGGGGGGTCGTACCAGAGAAAGAATTGAACATGGATCGTACCCTGTGAAATTTTTTCTAGCGCAGCAGTTGCGCGTTCAACTAGTTAGGTCCAGAGACGTCACGTGCGAAGGCCGCACACGACGTCTCTTGTAACCCGAGCACGTCTTGTGCTCTGCTGCGACCCCCTCCCCCCTTGCCCACCAACTCTTCCAAATCACTACTATTTTTCGCATTC